GCTAAGGCCCTGTGGCAGGTCAGAGGCTTAGCCAGTGCAAGGGCCTGACAGCACCCAGGGGAAGGAGCAGAGGAACCAGATGGGTCAGCTTGGGGAGATAGGGGCTGCAGGGGGCAGACTCCTCACAAGGCAAGTTATCTTCAAGCAGAAAGAAAGCACTGAAGAATGTGAAATAAGGAGGTGGCATCACCAGATTCCGTTTTAAAACACTCCCTCAACCTGCCTTCCAGGTGAGCTGTCTTGGCTAACTGCTGTTGACATCCGGGGACCTGGCTGGATCACAGGCTCTCGAGCCAAGAGCGGACGCAGCTGCTGGAATGGTCAGCAGCCAGGCCGTCATGGGCAGCCGGCCACTGTTCACACCAAGCAGTAACGAACCCCCAGGCTCAGGAACAGGACACCGCTACTTAATTCCTGCCCTGCCACTCTCTAGCCGTGCCACCCTCAGTAAGCTCTTAATCTCAGCTGTAATGGTGCGTGGCCGGCACAGCGTCCGGGCTGCTGGTGCTCATTCTCACGTCCTTGCCACCACATCCCCACCCTGCCATCCGACCGCATCCTGAACGCACATCTCTCACGACGCGTTCCGAGAGATACACAGGAACAAGTAAGTTAAGAGGAAGGCAACCAAGAGAACAAGAGCCTCGGCATCACACTGCGAGACGATCATCGGGGCCGGGACATTCTATTTTGGAGAAGACAAAGGAAGTGCCCTCGCCAGCGCGACTCCTAACCAAGCGGACACATGTGGGCGGGCACACGACAGATCGGGCTTCCCACAAGGGCAAGTGATCAGAACCACCTTGCTACCAGGTAAGTTCACCGGGTTCTGGCCGGCCATCCTGCCGGAATTCGCGCCTGACACCACAGAAGCGACAACGCTAGACGGCAAGTGGTAATCAGTCCTACGACCAGCACCTCAGTGAGATTTACTTACCTCACTGGTAGTTGGGGTGGGGGCCGCGCTTTAGAACGCAGAGGCCGTCACTGCAGGGACAGCAGTGGTAGCGAGTGTGGAAGGAGTGAACCCAGCCAGGGGAACGAGGAGCATCCACACACACAGACGGCATAAACCCAGAGCACACCCACTGCCGTGGAGTCCATTCTGACCCACAGCG